ATGAGACCGGTTTCCGCCCGGCACCCTGTCTCTTATACCCTGTCTCAGAACCTTCCAGAAGGGACCCACCCTGCCGGCTGCCCATCACGGCTTCCTCAGCCAATGGGTACGCGGCGGCCTCTACAAGCCCCAATGACTAACTCGGCCCTGCCCCTCGGGCCTCGCCCCTTCCCGCCCCTTCCCACCCCGCCTCGCGATGACGCACTCACCGCAGCGTTCTGGAACTTTCATTCTCGCCCCCGCTCTGCGAACTGCCCCGGGGAGAGAGCGGGTGGGGCCGAGAGAGCCCGCGCGCGGGAGTCCTCAGTTACCCCGGGCGGGGGAAGGGCGCGTCCGCACCTGCGCAGGCGCACTCGAGAGCGCGGCCATGAGGACGGAAGGAGGCGGGGGAAGAGGGCGGGCGAATTTAGAACCAACCAATGACGGCACTGCTCGAGCTCTGGATCGGGGCGCAACACGAGAAGGGAGAGCGCAGGGCCTGAAGGGAGGGGTCCGGACCCTGCAGCTCGGGAGAGAAGACGGAAGTAGAGCGAGGACAAAATGGCCGCGAAGGTTGTTGCATCCCCTCCCCCACCCGGGGTCTCATTCTGCTCCCTTCAGCTCTTATCCCGGCATTGCAGACGACCCTCTACAGCCTCCCAGGTTCCACATACCCACGCTTCGTAGCTGCCGTGCTTTGGGGCTAGGAATGGCCCCGAGCGGCCGGGCCGAAGGTTCCGACCCCTCGGCGGTCCTAGGGTAACGTGTCCAGGGACATCCATATCGGGCTGGGAGAGCCGCCCAGCCAGCGCGGGACCCCACAGAACCCTCAGTTCACTAGGGCAGCCGGAAGTCGGCAGCCTCCGTAGCACGGGTTTCAGGGGCCCGACCTCTCAGAACCCCGAGAGCCCGATAGTGTGTCTGGATTCTCAGCGAAATAAATGGCCCAAGCTGCTTTTCGGAGCCCGGACTCCTCCGCTACTCGCCACCTTCCGTAAATAACCGATTCGGCTACTAGGCTGAGCCCCGTTCCCTTCGCCCAAGCCCTGCACTTGTCCGTTATTTGGAAAAGAAAAGGTAGCGAGCTTTTCCAGTGTAGGTGAACCAGGCCTTAGTCCCGTGTCCTTGGGTTAGACTGAGCCTCTTATTTTTAGTAACGTGAGGTAATATGTTTCCTGCCTTGACTTCTATCAAAAACTACGCGAGAAACCACGCAGGGAGGCCTTGAAAACATAACGAGTGTACAAAACAGTGGTATCTAGAACTTTAAAATGTGGTATATGGTGGCAGGTATCTGGAGCCTTGTCATTCTAAGAGCCTTTCTCAGTACCTTGAATGCTTTCCAATGTGTGCTTTCAAACAGGCAGGGCACCTTGTCCTTGGCAAAGCAAGTAAAGCCTGGAGACATTCAAACATAAGAATTGTTTTTCTATAGTTGCCCCTTTTTGGGGGGTGGTAGGGTGGGGGGTGGGGGGGTTAGTTTGATTCATGGAGGCACATACTTCTCCCCACCTTCCAAGAAGTTAAATTTATATGATGCTTTGACAAGGTATAAAGTGCTTTCGTTTGTTGCCTCATTTAATAAAACAATTCTCTTGAGATATATATTATTCATCCGTGTGTTAGGAGAAAAATGAGGCTCAGAGATGTTATTTGTGGGAAGGTAAACAACTGGCTGAGAGCTACAGTAGAGCCTAGCTCCCTTGATTCCAATTCTTTGGTCTTTTTTATTAGTTACACGCTATAATGTTATTTCCTTTCTAGAAAGACAACTCTGTCTCCCCAAAGAGGAAGGTGTGTACAGTGGCAGGCTCCTTTCAATTTTCTTCGGTACCTGCAGTCTCCTTTTCCACTCAATTTACCAAATATAGTCTCTGAACTGCACCCTATATTTTGCAGCTTTTGTAACTAACCTCTGAACTACCTACAACACTTGAACCATTTGAACCAGTGGAAGATAGAACTGGGACCCAAATCCACTTGTTTGGGGTATCCTATCTAATAGCCATGATTGAAGGATGCAGAACAGATAACCTCTGTTTCTGGTCATTCTCAAAATGCTTTCTAGGACTTGGGCTATGTTCTTATTAAATACAAGAGTCTGAACTTTATATTTAAAGTTGAGGATAGGATGAATGTCCTGTCTCCATCTCCTAAAATGCACAGGGTTGCAAATACATTCAGTATCTAAAATTAAAGTTTGGACTTCGGTGGAGGAGTCTGAGACATAGGGTTTCTCACTTGGGAAAAGAATCATGATTAACATTTTTGAGTGCCTGTCACATGCCAAGCGCTGTTCTTAGTGCTGTGTATACATTACCTCAATTCTGTGAAGTTTTTTTTTTTCAGATTGTTTTGAATCTCTTAATGTTTACGTCTCTTTATCAAATTTATTTGAATCCCTTAGTGTGTACTTTTCTGTTGGTACTTCCCCTTGGCATACAATACTTAATATTGTTATTTTGATAAAGCCCTTAAGGGCTGGAACTCTACCATCACTTGGTATCTCCAGTACTACTTAGCATCCTGCCTTGTGAGAAAAAAGTACTTAGTTTATTTGTGACTAAAATCAATAAATGATTGATCATATTCAGTCTGAGTTCTTCTGTTCTTCAACTGACAGAAAGCTACAATAATAAATTTTCATTGCAGGTTATATAAGCTTCAGCCTCTCCTACAGTAATCACCTTGTGTATTTTTTAACTGCTGATACAGATGTATCTGTAGTAAATATTTGGTTTTTTAACCAAGCAATCCCAAATACAAGACAACTTAGAAGGTAAGATTGAAATATAAACAACTTTACACCAGAAATGAAGCAAAATTATATATGTCCTGTTGAAACAGCAATTCTGAAATTTTTTATACAGTGTAACAACAAAGGCATCAACTTCATTATTTTACAATTTTATGTTTAGTTTATATAGTTGATTGAAATGTTTATTCTCTAAACATCCACATTCTGTCTGTATCTTCTTCCTACAAACATGTTTTCTTCTGTCATTTAGTTATGTTATCCTTTGTTTCATACTCAAGATTCAAGTTTATTTGACTTGTAAAGTTAATGGATGTAGTTTGAAACCAATAGTGGCTCAAATTGTTATCTTAAGCCTGTTGTATCTGCACCGAAAAGTGAAGTGCACTCACTCAGAGAAGTGCACTATCATTGCTAAGACTTCAGCACCTTATCTCTCAGAATCTTCAGTTCCTACAATTTCTCAGATTTTAGGTAGTAATCTGTTTTGTGTAGATTTCCATTGTGAATAGAGTTCCAAAATAATCTGAATATTCAAATAGTATTTTAGTCTTCTAATAACTGCATGCTTAAATAACCTAAACCACCTTTTCATGCAAAGGGGACTGATTCCTGCTTTCAAAGGCATGGGCAGGAAACCTTAGGTTCAAAGGTAGGAAATAATGATCAGAGCAAATTGCTAGTGGTGGTGCTGCTGCATCCGCCATAGTGTCCTTTGGCCTAGGTACTCTGGGAATGAGACTTCTCAGATTTACATAGCAGAAGTGATAGGTTGCCTGGATACCACTACCAGGAGAATAAAAAAAGTAGAGTAAGGGATTTTATATCTTACAATGAGGCAGTGGTAGTATATAAGAAACATTCCAAATATCCTAGCCCTCTTAAACTAGCAGCAGACATTCTTTACTCTACAATGTCTCTTATTTCCCATCTTTTTTTAGAGTAAGACAAAACTCAGATGAAAGCTTTCACCCAAGGATAAACCCCTATTTCTTAAAGAACTTTAGAAGGAAATAACACGTGCACTATGTGAGGACACTGTTGTGAGAATTAGTGTAGAAATGAAAAACCAGAGAACTAGGGCATATTCCAATATCAGCCGTTCCTGTAAGCATCTAATTCCCATTTTAGAAACAATGCTTTTATCACCATATTCAGTATTACTTTTTCTTTCCTGTAGCCTGCTGCCTTTTTAATAAATCTTTCGCTCTACAAATGGTGATCTGTTGCTGTTTGTACTAGGGTCCTTGAGGGGCTAATTCAGGTGCAGAATTCTTGCATAGGATGAATTTGAGTAGCAGAGTAGTCAAAAATATTAAAAGGGCAAGTTGTTATACTGAAGGCTGCTGCTTTTTAAAAATTTTTGTCAGACAACTTTCTTTTATGAATCAACTCTTCTGAGAGCTGTCCTGGTGAATCATTTCTGCAAATTCCTCCCAAGATGCTGACAATTAAAATGATAACAGCCACTAACCCAGAATTCTGCCACTCACTAGTTTTCCTTACCATCTCTTACCTAGGTGTTCATTCCATTTCCCTCCAGCCCATAGCTAGACTTCATTAGAAGCTAAGCTGGTAAAATACTGAATTCTCTTTAACTTCTCAGGCAGAAAGGATTTTGATATTCTTGCAGTGCCAGTAGGAAACATTGGCAATCTCTGATCTTTCTGATAATTTTAGGCCTAGGATCATCAAAAGTCCCAGGTTCACGTCCTTCTCTTAAAACTAAAATGAAGAAAGCTCCAAGTTTGGTGCAATTCTAAACTTCCTTAGACTGCTCTGTGACATATTAAGAAAATGGATCTAATCTCCCTTTCTAGTCTAGTAATCTTGAAATTCTGGTTTTGTATGTTCTCAGAAAGACTAAAGTATGTCAGATGATCTTGCAGCATCTTAAAAAGATCACTTTTTCACTACATGACTTCTTTCTAAGGACATTGTTAAATGACATGTAGTGAATGTTTTCCTGCTCCAGAGATATCCAGCAGAGGAGTCCTTAGAGACATCTGATTTGAGAGAAAATCCACAGTTGTTCCAATATATATTTCTAATATTTGTCCGTGACCCTCTGAGCATCAGTAAGATGGGAAGTTTTTCACAGTCCCTTGTCACACATTTTGTATTCCTTTTTTAGTTCTACTATGGTTCAATACAAGTACAGGAAGATTAATGGTGGATAGAGTGGGAGAAAATTATTCTCCATCTCCCAATATTTCATTTTCTCTTGAAATTAATATCTAAACCATATGGTAAATGAAGTCAAGCCAGAACAGAAGAGACAGAAAATGTTTCCTTTTTTGGAGTGTCTTAGAAGCGGTCAGTCCAATACATGCTGCAGAAAGGTGTAATGTAAGGCTGTGGGTTCTGCTTGACTCTGAATAACCACAACAATCCAGTAGGTTTGCAGAAATGCATAGAAAATTTATGAACACCTCATTTCTTCTTGACAATGGTGAATCGAAGTATAGATACAAAACATCTCAAGTGAGAAGTTTTACGAGTTTTACGTATGTTCACTTCCCTTTTACCCAGCCTTTCTCACCACAGGTCCTGGTCAACAAACACAGATTTGGACCCCTGCTTTCCCCCACTCTTGTCTAAAGTCACAATGAGATGCCTTTTTGGAGATGATCAGCTTACATCCTTTTTCTTGTTTGGTGTCATACAAGGAGAGTGCTCATTTGAATCTGTTCCATGCAATGCTCACTATTATGTAAGTGACCGCTCATCTGGTTTGAGGGGGTTGTGTGGCTGGTGACTGAGCTTCGAAGACTAGAAAGTCCTAAGATCCTGACTCCTAGGAAAGCATGGGAGTCAAGTCCATTCTAGTTCAGGCAGTTTGGAAGGGCCTGCCCTGGCTGGGGATCATGCTGGGTGTGGTTTCTGCTTTGGTCAGGGTAGCATGGTGGACTTTCTTTGGTTCAGGACCTCTCACCTCTGGCCCCACTAGGTTGTATGCATGAGTGGCCAGCCCTGCCTGGGGTGCTGCTTCAGTCAACAGTGTCCGCTGGCTGCGTGAGGCACTATTTGCCGTGGAGCGAGTGGAGGAAGAACCAGAACGTGAGCTCTGAGAGCCTGAGGAAGAGGAACTAGGTTTCACAAGGCGAGCTTTCGGGGCTTCAGCATCTTCCCTGAAGAGAAAAAACAGCAAAAGTAAAATTTAATACTGGCAAAACTATGATAATTTCCACTATGGTTGCTTCCTTCTGAGGTTTCCCAATACATTCCTCAAGCTGTAAACCTCAAATACCATTGGACGGCAGCCATTTAGGGAAATAGGGACTTGCCCATTTTCTGAGACTTAATGGTTGGCTTAGGCAGATATATGGTTTGTTAGCTCAGAAGTCAACCCTGCTACTGTGGGAGAATACGCATTCACCTTTGAAATGGTCTAGACAGCACTCCCCTTGATTTGGAGTTTGTCTGCGTAAACCCTCATGGCCCATAGGCTATGCCTGTTTTTTATTGTAGGCCCTTTATAAGCGGAAGTGAATAGGAAGTAACGTCAAGTTGATCTTTTACGCCTCTGTTGAGGATAGATTGTCTCACAATAAAGCCAAGGTAAGCCAGACCTCTGTCCCTAGGTTGGAACACCTTACCTACCAGAATAATCCTTTAAACAGATTCCTGGTTACAAGGAAATGGAACATTTATATTGGCTGGTCGCTATGGAGCTAGCCCTAGAAAGGAAGCCTAGTGGAAGAGGAGATTTTGGAGGGTAGTCTACCGAATTTCATTAGGTCTCTCTTCTTCCTCATATCTCTCTTTGTCTTTTCTTCGGATCAGCAGCCACACCAAGAGGAAGATCAGCAGGGCTCCAGCCACCATGCCCGTCACTGCTCCTGCAACCATGCCGATGCTTTGCACATCTGTTTTCTCAGAAACAAAAGCAGAAACAAAACCAAACATAAGCTAGGAAACTCATAAACTTAAAAAAACAAGCTCTGGGCAGAATGAGTATTTCCAGATCTATATCTATCTTCCCAAGTTACCCATTTATCATCTCTTGGTGTATGACTATACCTCTTGATGTTGAAGGGCAGTAGAATATGCAACCCCAAAATATGCTTCTTTGACATTAACATTGGGTTGTCGGGAAAGTCAGGATGTATTTGTCTATGTTCTTCAATGCAAAAATGCGTCCTGACTTTCCCGATGACCCAATATTTTACGCTAATCATTTTTGAGAAACTGCAAACACAGGAAAAACTCTGAAAACAGAGTAGAAGTTACCCTTTTGTAAGAGAAATTTACATTTATAAAGGAACTCTTCATTTGGTCCTCTCCTGGATATAATAAATTTCTTTGGGGGCTGGTAAATATACACATATTTGTAAACATACAGTTAGCTACAGCAGTCAAATAGTCCTTGCAACTACTGCATTTATTTTAGTGATAGCCATATCCTTCTGGAAATATTTTTACTTTGACCTTATTCTTACTCATGATTAGAAATGTTTTACACTGAACCACAATGCAAAAAGAAAACAAACACACTCTTTGGATACTTACACTGCACAGTGACTCGCACCACACAGCTTTCCTTCCCAGCCTCATTGCCTGCTGTGCACTGGTAGAGTCCAGAGGAGGACATGGTGAGATTCTGCAGCAGAACCCTCCCAGGGTTGTTGTAGTCTACATAAGCAGAAAGAATGACTGTAATCCCCTTAGTGACAGGGTCTATATTTATTGTTTTATTGCATCGACCTAAGATTCTGTAATACAGGTTGCTAAGGATGAGATGATCGAATAGATCTCATTTTGGAATGTGGGAAGAAAGGTGAACATTCTTTTAAATTATTATAGTGCATCTAAAAGTTACAAAAGGTTGTGAACATTTAAGGGATACTAACCAAGATAACTAGATATAATGGATTTATATGGTACATTTCTTCTTAATGTTTTTTTTTACCACTTTTACATGCCACTTGAGGGAAGAAAAGACAGATTTTCTGTCCCAGTTTATGGATGAAAAATGGAAGTTCAAAGAGGTTTAGCAGTGTATTCAAGATCACATGGTGAGTTGCTGTCAAAACTGGATTTAGAATTTATGGTTAGAGTACTGTCCTGTTGTCTCAATGGAAAGGTGACTTACCAATCCTAGATTTAGGAGGCAGATACTCATCCTCTCCCTCCTTCTCTCGGATTCGCTGCCAGTAATACACAATGGGCTTTGTGCCAGAGGATGACTCACACTGCAAAGTCAGGTCACTTCCTTCTGTCAGTTCTCCTTCTAACTCACACTTGGGCTTTGATGGTCTCACTGGCAAGAAAAAAAAAATGTACTTCACTTGACTGGCCTAAAAAAAAAATTACTGATTCAAAGATTCCTTACACAGTAGATTCAATGGAAAAACTACATCCTATTGAGTTATTTCTCCAGTCATCCCTTATGGTCAACTTTTGAGTGGGAATTCAGTAGCCTTTTATCTACTTACCTAGCCATGCGTTACATCACCCCCAGAAACACACCCATCTCCATCCCTTGCATACACGCATACCCAATCCCATCTGCTTCCAATGGTGCTGTTGTAATTTTCAGAGCTGCCTCAGAAACTACATCATCACTTTTCAAAGAAGAGACATATTTAATTGGAAATTTGGAAAGCTGAGTATGGTTTTACTAATACTGGAACAGTATCATTAATTTGGAAGATATTAAGTAGAACTTAGTAGCTCCTGCTGTCAAAAAACAGAGGAATGGATTTGAATCATAGCTGAGAGATTTAAGTTAAATAAGGATATTCAAATACTAGAGGATACTTAAATTTTTTATTGTACTACCATGGAAAATTGTGATTATTTTTTCTTCTTTTATTATGGCTAAAACACAAAACATACTTCTTTCCAGGGAACAGGGGTAGGTGACCTCAGAATAACAGAAAGTACTGAACAAGAAGTTTTGTACCACCATGATATATTTAGCTATCCCTCACAGAGACTTAATATTTATTAATAAGATGCAGGCATTTACCTTGGCACTCTGTCTTACCTAAGACTTTTAAGATGACATGGCTCCACACATAGCGCCCTGAATTCTTCACCTTGCAGGTGTACCGGCCCTCATCACTAGGCTTCAGAGGCTCAATCTGCAGGGACGCATCTCCTGCCAGGAAATTGGAAGCAAAGGCCACTCGGCCCTTCTGTTCCTCAGTCAAGTTATTGTAGACATGATGGCTGGAGTAAGTGATTACCTGTGGGATAGACCAAGGCAAGGTCAGGCAGTGTGGCTCTCAGCCTTCCTGTCCTGCTGACAGTCAAGATGAGGACTAGGAATACTCCCAATGGGACAGAGCAGTCAGGGCCTGGGGCTAATTCTAAGGATCCAAGAGACTTCTGTTATAAAGTTAAAAATATGATGTTTCTTTAGGCCTTGCTGCTTCTAAGAACAGTAACACCTCATATTTGTGTAACATTTTAATTATAAAATAGTAATTATTTCATTAAGTGCTCAGAACCATTCTATTTTGTAGGTGAGGACTTTTAAATTTGAGTTACATGCTCAAAGTCTCACAGCTAAGTCAAGGAAAGAACGAAATGCACAATCAATACACACACAGCGTATTAAGAGTTGACTCTGAGGAGAATAGAGGATAAGGATGGGGAGGAAGACTTACATTCCCCCCACACACCCTTTCTAACTTGCATATTCTACCACTTGCATCCATATATATATCTATATCTATATCTATCTATCTATCTATATATATATATATCATTGCATATATATCATAGTAGTCATATGCTACAGTCCTTGTGCTAGGTGCTTTTACACCTAGTTTATTTCTCACACATTTTATCCAAGTAGTTATTGTCCCCATCTCATAGACAGCAGAACTGGATTTGAACTGGACCCATGTAAAGCCATCTAGTTCATTGTTCGGGTATAGCACAGTTACCTCTGTCCTTCCTTTACCTACCTGCATTCATTTCACTACTCATTAACTGCTCTTCCGGAAAGTTTGCAAATGAAGGAGAAAGTGTAAAACAAAAAAATCCATTTGTTTTGTTCTTAACAAAAGTTTAGAGTTCAGTTGAAGGGATTCGAGAGAAGATAAGGAATAGAAGTTAACGGTTAAAATTCAGGTCTGATACTGAGGGCTGCTTTGTTGGGCTTTCCTATTTTGACTTCACTGTGGATTAGTTAGGTGGGAAAAACATTCTGTCCTTTCCATAAAATACACATGAGCTTCACATCTTTGTTTTCCCAGGCAGGGAAACCAAAGCTTAGATGACCCAACAGAAAAAGGTAATCTTGATTCTTACTAAATTTTCATCTGTCTGCATCACAATTTCCAGTTCACGAACTCTTCCCTGGCTCTTTTGGTCCATCTCCTCACTCCTGTTAGTCACAAAAACCATGCTGATCTAATCCACCAAGACTTCAAGCTATAGAACTTCAATTTCACCCTCCCTGCCGCTTAACAATCATATTCTTAAACTCATTTAATTTAAACATCAGCAAACATTTATGGACTGAGAGCTTCCTGTCAGGCCAGGAGGCGGCTATTCAGATGAGTAAAACTCTTCTTGTCTTCAAATAATTTATAGTCTAATAGGATCAACAAGGAGAGACATGCAAACGGAGGGAAAAAAAACCATTAACTTGAAATAGTATCAGAGAAAATGTCCCAGAAAAGTCGGTGGCATTTGAGTTAGGCTTTGAAAGATGAGTAGACTAAATAAGAAATGAGAGAGGCAGGGAGAATAGAGCTGGAGGGACAATTCCAGATACACAGAAAGGGCACTAAGAAAAGGCATGCAGTCACGTGGGAGTTTGCCCAGCACATTTCTGGCTACAGCTATTCCAGACTGTTTCACTTCTACTTAAGCCTTTAACCCTGTCCTCAATCATGTGATTCTCTGCAACTCATTAAATGCTTACAGAAAAGACTTGAAGCCATCCAATAAAATGCCCATCAATTCTTTCTCCATTGTATAAAACTCTTCAGTAGCATCTATTTTGCCCTTCCCACCTCTCTGAGAAAAGTGTTTTCTCCTTTCTCTGCATATTCTATTTCTTCAACAAATATTTATTGAGCTCGCAGACCAGGTACTGTGCTGGGAGCTGGGAAAACAAACAGGAATACGACAGTTCCCAGTCTGAGGACCCCACAGTCTTGTGGGGGAAGAAACTAGGGGAGAAGCAAGTAAGGGGAAATAAAGGGAAACACTAACTGATCATATACTTAAAATATTTTCAGTATGCAATTTTGCCCCCTCATTTCAACCAACACCACTATTGTGATAATTCTCATATCCTTATCTCTATTCCCAACATATTTTTGAGCTTGTGTTTCATATTTCCAGCTAGCTGCCTGGCTGCTATATATTTCTGTTCTCTCCAGTCTACATAATGTAAGGAAATACCAAGTTAATATTAATGTAAAACATTAGCTCTTTTCCAGCTCAAAAACCTTTAATGGTTCCCCACCACCTCTGAATGATGACCAGATTCAGCTTACGGTCCTCAAAATGATCTCTGCTTTATCTTCCCAATCTTATTCCTATTTAGTCCACTTCACATACCTGGGTGAATCAGATTATGAAACTGAGGGTCCTTGTGACTTTGATTAAATTCAGCTTTAAATCCTAGCGCGTGCTCTCTCTCGTATATCCCTCAGAGAGCTAGGAGCTAGCCTTTCCCCCAGTGACTAGCAACCCCGAGGCAGCAGAAGACAGTAAGTAGCTGGAACCTAATGGTTACATGGTCTGGGCCTCTGGCAGGCTAAAGATAATGTCTTGACCTAAGTTATGTTTCAGCTGCTGAGCCCTAAGGTGGAACAACCCCCTGGCTACTTTCCAATGAAGCCAGACAGAGGGACACTAAAGCCGACCTCAGAGCTGTCCTCAAGACCTGAAGAAATGATTTATTAGCCTTACTTCACCTCTGACCAATCAGCTCCCAGCTTGACGCCCAACCCCCTAAGCCACAGTGACTCATGATTTTGCCCTACAGAATCTACAGTCTACAAATAGTTGGGGAGTTCCAGCTTTTGAACAGTAGCTTCCCGTTCTCCTGGGAGCTGCCATTCATAACAAAATAGCCATGCTTTCTCCACTGCAATTCTTGGTGTTTAGAGTTTGGCTCTGCTAGCGCCAGGTGGACAAACTCTTTCTGTTTGATAACAATTACATTATTTCCCTTTCTTTAATGAGTTGTGCATTCTTTGTACTCACATGCCTTTGCCCACTGCATTTTTCCACTTAGAAACTCCCTTTTCTCCATGTCTCCACATAAAGAATCCCTATTCATTTTTTTTTTAAAGATTTTTATTGGGGAATTGGGGGGAGGGGAACAGCATTAGGGAATCAGGGAAGGGGAACAGATAGGTAGACAAATTGCTATTTTTGTTCTTCAGTCCAGTTGTGGAGGACTTTGCTTCACTGGCCCATGTTGGTATGATCATTGTGCTCTTCCCAGATGAGGCAGATCGGTCGTCGGTCATTGGTCAGCTGCTCACAGCAGCTCCCGGCAGCTCACACCGGCTGCCAGCCACTCACTTAGTGCACGGCAGCCCACTGCCCCTGCTGCAGCCTACGCTTTGCCGGCGACTCACAGCAGCCCAGCTCCAGGTCCAGCTGTTGTTCATCATCTTAGCTGTAGAGGGCCAGCGTCACTGACTCTCAATGTGGGATCCGAACTGCAGCCCTGCTGCTCAGTGCTGGCGCTCCCAAGCCAGCTCTTAACCAGCTGAGCTACTTGGCCGGCCCCCTATTCATTCTTTTAAATCCAAAATCAATGTTAATTCTTCATGAGATCTTCCCTGATATGACACTCAGACTAAGAATGGTCTCTGTTCTTTGCTCTCATCCATAGCATTTCTTTGCACCATTTTTATGTGAGGAGAAATTGTGAAAGACTTCGGGCACATAGGCTCCTGGGTCCCCTTTCTCTAATGCTGGGCACTGTCCAGGAGCTCCCTTAGGCCGTTCTGATTTTATGTCTGTTGCCCTCGATTGTCTTTGGCTAGGCTATTTTGCAATTCTGCAGTCCTTTATTCAATTTACTGAAAACATACTCTGTGCTTGGCACTATGCTAGAGATGATAACAATACAAAGAAATAAGTTTCATTAAGTGTCTTAGGGACCAAGACATGCCACCCCAAAATATACCACTTTACATATGCATAAGAATTTCATCTAAAGGCATTTGAGCTCCTGAAATTCCTTGTCTGCCTAAAAGCAGTCTCCAATAAGAATTTAAGTCATAAATCCCCTCCCTCAGAGCAACTCTAATCTTGTCTCCTGGGAGACCAGATATATCACACCCAGGTAGATATCAGTCACAAACTACCCTATCTCCCATCTATTCTAAGGATCCATCTTTCCGAAAAACTGTTTGCTTTTCCATAAGTGCCCTTTCTTCCCCTCTTTTTCCTCCACTATGTTAGGTACATTGAGCCCAAATTCTAACCACCTCTGAATTACTCAACTCTGGGCACTCCCGTTTGTTACATATGTGATACACAGGTTAATAAACCTTGTTTTTGTCTTTTGTCAATCTAATTTACAGTGCCCCAGCCTGAGAACGTGGGAAGGTAAAGGAAAAACGATGATTTTTTTTTTTTTAGTCCCCTACGGTTTTAAAGGACAACTTCAAACAAACAAACAAAAAAACTCATGACAAAATAAACATGTATCAGATTGTATTTAACTCATTAATCATAGAACTAAAGAGAGATTACAAGAGGATCAAATGAGAATTGGACTAAAAGATTTCTCCTTTGGACAAAATTTATTTGCATCTTTGAACAGGAACAGTTTGTTTCCCTATAGATAGGAAACATGGCATCACCATCAGCATTCCACAAGTTAATTTTAATTTCTGTGGAAATTTGTGCATAGGAAAATTAGACCCTAATTCATCTCCAGAAAACCTGGACTCTAAGCATGAAGATAATGTTCAGGAGGCAGCTCCCAGTGGTGTATGTGGGAGGTGGGGGCAAGTTTTCAGGCTGGGCTAGGGAGATGTCCTCTATTGATAAGGTGAGGAGGGGAATTAGGTCTCTGGAAGGCTGCTCTCCCTGCCTCCACTCCACTACTGCCTGCTCCCTTAGCATGTGGTCTCCTGGTTCAACTTACTGAGTCTTTCGGTTAGAGTACCTGAAGGGCTACTGGGGAGAGTACTGGGGGGAGTGTTCCTCTGACTGGGATGAGGGATGGAGGGGAAATGGAGGATGATGGTAGGTT